TTCACTACTTCCCATGGGAAAGAGGAGAAAGAAATGATCTTTTATAGGATATTTTATTTCTACTTGTCATTTTTCCCCCAGAAATGGTGTCATGCTCTCATCTGCAGGGTTTAGATCACACTCAAACCAACCTGATCACACTCAGACCAACCTTCACTGACCATGGAATAGAACTGAAATATTCATGGACCAAAAATTCCTTGAAGCCAGCACAGCCACATTTATGTCTTTCAAGGATGTATGTAGAGATTCACTATTAAAACATCCCTCCAGGTTCCTCACAGCACTAACAGAGGAACATCAGTTGAAACAACAGGATTCAAGCCCCAGTCTGGAAATAGCAACCCTGATCTACATCCCTCAGGGTTGTTTCATGGATGCGGAGGGTGGTGAGTGCCACCTGCACACACAGAGAAGAAGACACAAAGCTCATTGCTTTCAAAATACATGCCTCTGCACTGCATTAGTGGACATTTTAATGTCTTGTACAGTGTGTTCTATGCCCTGAAGACCCAGCACAGCTTACCAGGAAGACCAAGGTGGTCTTTTTCCAAGAACAAGCCTGTATTGCCTGTGTGGGTGACTAGAGCTTGTGCTGGCACTGCTTGTTTCCCAGTTGCTGTCATTTTGTCAGTGTCACTGATCTCAGCACCTCACAACTTTGCTCTGGATACTTTAGCATCTTTACATCTGGTTCTAGTGCAACTTGTGGCACATGGAGGTGGATGTTTTAGCTGCCAACCTAATAAGACCAAAGCAAAGGAATTGCCACTATTTGTACAGGCTCTACAGTAGATGCCATCTTCCAGCCCAGAAGACATTTTCCTCTAGGAGCATTGTAGCTGTTTGCAGAGAGGTTGTGTTCAAACTCAATCCTGCTAGAAAATGACACAGGCTATAGCAGACTAAAGATGTGCTAAAGTAATATTTTCATAAACTGAATGCAGGAGGAACCAATACATATGGGTAACATACCATAAACCACATGGTAGCTCAGAGTATTCAGTAGCCAGATACGTCAGATATATAGCCTCAGATTCCACCAACCAGCAAATTGGGGTAAAAAGAGGACAAGTCAGGGAAACCCAAACAGACAATAACCAGCCTGTGTGACCCAAGTGACTACAAGCTGCTCCTGCTCAAGCAAGCCTACATTTTGGCACAGAGAGGCCTCACACAGCAGTTTGCATCCTTTCCTGATTGCTTTAAGGCAGAAGAAAGTTCTTTTCCCCTCTGCAACCTGGCAGCTTGCTGGTCTCTTTGTACAATACAGATCCCATTCCTTACTTGCCCTCTTGGAGGCTGGATCACCTGCTAATGTGAAGGCAGAAATGGGCAGCCTCATGCAAAACCCTCTGAGTGCAAGATTACAGACCTTGCTCAATAGCTGTCGTTTTCTTGCTCAAGCTTAATGGCTCCTTTTGGAGCTGTTACAGCCCATGATTTAAATGTGTGTAAGCAGTAGTTTTCAAAGCCTGTATTATTCACTCAGTGCTGCCTCTGAAAAGGCCAGCAACCACAGGCATGACACTTGCAGGGCACATTTTGCTCTCTACTTCCATTTATTATAAATCTTGACATCAAGCTTATGGGCTTTGTCAGTCGTCTCCTAGTGAGGTATAAGCTGTGCTACAGAAAACCCGTCTCAGGGCTGTATTTCAGCTACCACGGCTCAGTTCAAGTGTTACACTTACAAATGTATAACTTAACTTGGTTGTAAACCAAAGGTGTTTACAGTCTCCTTGAACAACTCCCAGGAAGAAGTATCAGTGGAGCTGGGGGTTTTTTTGCCTGGTTCTGTTGGGAACATGGCAGAAATTCTTGTTTTGACCTCTTTGACTTTGTCTTCTTATAGGGTGATGCTCTTAGAAGTTATAGAAGACACTGAGGTGCATTTCTCCTCCCTTTGCTCAGCTGTTTCTTTTACTTAGATGGAGAGTGACTCCTGGGAGGCTTGTGCAGCTAAGAGGGTGCACATTAGAGCTGCTCTAAGCTCTAAACCATCAACAGCATTTCAAAAAGGACACTACAAATTGGACTGTGAATCACAGTACACAGTCTCAGCTTGATCTCAGGTTCTGATCTGCCTGTGGAGCAAGTTTGGCAGGAGCATCCCTAGAAGAGAATAGGCTTAAATGGCCACAAAACCATTTTCAGTACATTTGCGCTTAGTACAACAAGCAGCCAGACTTCAAACAGGACCATAATTGCATATTTGTGCTTACATTGTTCCCGTGTCATTTGAAATCTGTGCCAGAGCAGAGAAAAGCAGAGAAACCTTCCAAAACTATGCAGATCTTTCTTCTACTTTGCACTAGTGTTTCTGCTCCAAACCAGAGAAGATGACTAAGGGAGCTTAAGCCTTTCAGTCACCCTGGCTGGTTGTTAGCAGTACATCACAGCTGAAATGAAGTTCACTGCCACTTCAGCACCATGTGTCTAGGAACCCTGGTGATTTCTTCAAGCATCAGTTAAGGAGCTGTGCTCCTTTTTCTGGGATCAGCTGCTTTAATCCAACCATTTGCTCTCAATTTGCACAGCTTTTCTGCAGTCTTGATGGATCAAGCCAGAGTCATGCTGACAGCCTGCTGGAACCTCTCCTCTCTGCAGGCCTTCCCCAGCAGAGGAGAACCTGACCATAGCTCTTCTGTTCCATACTTGAACATTATTTAGGCTGATCATATGTGGTAGCAGAGATAGATGGATATGGAAGGGAAAAATAACTGGATTTCCAGGAGAAAAGCCTGAGGGTGGTTGGCTGTTCGCTGTCCTGAGATGATACTGTGCTGCCAGGCAAGTTGGCCTCATTCCCTTCTGCCTTAGCTTTAGTGCTGCCAAGAGATTTCCCAGTACAATCTCGATTGCCAGCCAGCATGAAGAAACCAAGTCAGGGCTGGGTTTTCAGCTTTAAGTCAACTTTACAGTGCTGTCAAATAAAGAAGAAAACCCCTTCACCATCCTTTGGCGTTAAAACCTAATCTGGGATCGTGGAGAGTGCAAATACAGAACTCCACAATGCCAGTTTTTTGTAGCTGCACTTTCGTGTTCTCCCCTGGGATACACCGCACAGTGTAGGAAACACAATGACATTGCAAGAAGAGGAGTCACAATCACAACATCATCCTTTCTGTCCAAGTATGAAAATGAATCAAAACAAGCAAAAGGGACTTACCTGGGGTCATTCCCCAGGGAGTATCAGAGGGAAGTTGGCATTCGGCCTTCCTGCTTCTTGGGGCCACACTTAAAATGACCATGGGGAGCTGAGGTGTCTCTGATCTGCCAGCTAACCCAAATGGCCTTTGTACTGAAGCTTAAATGAATCAGGTCTGTTAATTATCCTTCTCCTCTCTGCAGGGTGATGCCAATAGGTCAGACACAGACGAGGACAAGACATCTGCCAACTTTGATGATGATTTTGAGAAGCTAAAAGACCTCCGAGCAACAGGTAGGATTTTGTGTCTGCATTTTCCTGGGAATCCGAGAGCTACAACTCTCCTTCCACAGTCATCTTGTAGAAACATAACAAGGAAAAGTGGAAGAATTCATTTTATGTGGCAATAGATCTGATAGATATGTCAAGAGAGCAGCTCTTAACATGCAAAAAGAGTAGGGAAGCTAAATGAGCATGGAGATTTCCTTTAAACAGCTGTTTTCCTAATTTAAATTACAGTGGAATATTTAGATATGTCTCCTCATTTCTTCTGTATCATTCCCACAGAATGCTTTGCTGACAGCAATAGTCACACACTACTTCTCAGCAGCTTTTCTAATCAATCATGTTCTTTTTGGTTTCTTACACAAGTGCATTTAGGTGAGGTTTGATTGATGGGAATGTTGCTGTTCATTTGTGTTACAGGAGGGCCTGGCACTTGATTTGAGGTAAGGCCACATTGTGCTAGCGTGCTATAAACATGCAGTGGTAGGTGCCAGCCTTCACTCTGTAGAGTTTGCAACCAGATAGTGGACAGGAAGGGATCACAAATTGAATAGTATTGATGGTGAACAGGAGCCAGTTTAGTTCCTCTGTACTTTGATTCTCAGTTTGGGCTTTAATCAAAGGATTACTTTAAGTGCTTCTAAACCAGGATTCATTTTAGCTAAGGAAATTATATTGATTGTGGTGAACAGATGGAATTCATCTGAGGAAGGGGCAGAAGTAATTTGTTGGGGAAGCTGAGAGAGAGCTGGATCACAGCAAGGTGATGGAGTTGCTCAGCCTGCAGATGAAGCAACAAACTGCAAACACCAAGTGACCAAATGAATGTCCGTTGCAAATAGCTGGCAAGGAACCCACAGCACCAACTGTGTGCCAGCTTTGCACCAACTATTTGCTGAGCAGCTTCAAATAAGAAGAGAGTTCTAGGGGAAAGAAATATTGTCACCTCTTCTCAGGTAGTACAAGAATAGAAGACAGGGCTGAACTTGCCATCAACCGAAATTCCATGAGTAACTGTGTGTCTCCATAAGTCTCACAAGTGCCAACCAGTGACTAAACAGCATGAAGGCATTAACAATTCTGTCATAATGCCGTTGGTCTGTAAATAGATACTCTGGCAAGAGGAACATATATTGCAGATTAGCACATTTTGAGCTGGATCTTCCACCCCTCAAAGTGAATGGCATTGTTCCCACAGACTTCTGTAGTGCAGATCAGGTATTTGTGCCCAAGCCAGCAACTAAACAGATGATACAATAGAAGCACAGAGTTACAAATGCAGCCAGTGGAAGAAAAAGAGCAGGGGTAATGCACTCACTTGGATTTCTCACTGTAGACTTATACTTCCTTCCTGCTGGGCACAGATGCTCCCATCCTTCCCCCTTCTTAAGATTGACCCTGCAGTTATTAAACCACAACCCACTAAATCCAGTAAAACAGGAGCTAGGTCAACTTTAGTTTTGTGTTTGAGATTAGGCTTTTGGTTTGGAGTGTTATGGCACTGGAAGTGTTATGCCTGGTTTGTCTTCAGTGTGAATACCATTTTTGCAGTCTGAAGTTGCCATACAGCTAAAATAGATGCTTTTTGCAATTACCACAGAGATGTGCCATTGGATTTCTCTGTTACAGGAGGTTTACTTTTCTAGACAAATGGATGTGTAAAAGCAACTTCCATTTCCTGTCCCCTGAACAGATGACTAAAGACAATGACTAATGTTCACTTAGTGCCTTCCCCATGAAGGAACTTAAAGCACATCAGAACTGCATAAAAATCTCTGTGCAAGACTATGACAAGGAGAAAAGAGTAACTTCCCAGAGTGAATTTAGCCAGTCATCAATATCCTTTCCCTGGGAACTCTCTCCCAGGCACCCCAAACTGTAACTTCACTCTCTAAATCCCAAGAAACAGTGAGCAAAAGCAGCTTCCTTTGGAAGCACAATGAGTTCCAAGTCCAGGCAGGGCTGAAGACCTCTTAAAAGGTTGTGACATTTACCTTATGCCTCTCAACATGGTGCGAGTGATCTTACTGCCCACAACGTTCCATCTCCATTTGGCAGAGTTCCCAGCAGACCCAGGGTACAATGTCCATTTTGAAGAGTGATTTCTGTAGCTGGGCATTCATCTCTTCTTCTCTCTCCCCTTCTCTCCAGAGATGAAGATGTACTCACTTGCTGTCACCCCAAATGGACACCTGGAGGGCAGGGGAAGCATGCCCCCTCCTATCATCATGCGCACTGCTGCCACACCAATGCCCACACCAAAGTGTTCCCCACACATGGATTCAGTGCACACTTTTGTGGACTCGAGGAGAGGGAGTAATGCTTCCCTAGAGCCCTTGAACTACGACCAGAAGTCCTTGGTATGTTCCTATTGCTAACAGCTCTCCCTCAAGTGCCTGCAAGCAGCACAGATGATGTGCACACACGTGTTGCTGGAAAATACAAAGGAGGGGGATGGAGGTGAGAGGTATGTCTAAAGGCAGGAGGAGAACAGATTCAAGAGGGCAAAATGAGTGGGTGTGCTGTGCTGGGGAACATAACAGTCAAGGGCAGTGACTATATGAAAAGGGGAGAGAGGGATGTCCTGGGATTCAGTGTTTTCCTGCCTAGTATCTTTCCCAACTACGCTGGCCATTTTGTGGTGGCATAGTGGAGCTGTCAAATGCTCCTGTGAGGATGAGGCCTGTTTCCCCCCACAGTATTTTAGAGTTGCATCTTAGACTTGCTTTGTATCAAGGGAAATGAAGCATTTGTCCTTACCAACACAGCAGCTGAGCTCCAGTTTCAGTACAACAGCCCTATTGGAGGGGAAACAGAGGTATGAGCTGACCGACTGCTGCCAGGCACAGCTCATGGAGCAGAGATCTGGCTGGAGCTGACTGCTTTGGCAACTGATTGCATTTTGCCTGCGACAGGGGAGGGGGGGTGGGGGCAGCTCTGTGAAAAAAGAGGGAGCAGAGTTAATAGACAAAGTGGATTTTCACTGCTGCTTATCTGTCCCATTCCTCTGCTCTGTAACTGCAATATCATGTTCAAATCAAGGCAGCGGACTGTGAAAGCACTTCACGCAGAGACAGAGCCACTATCCCCTTTGGTAAGCTGCTTAGTCAAGGTAATGCTTTTGAAAAGAAAATAGAGATGACTGTTGTTTGCCTTGGGGTTTCATGGGATTGTGAGTAGCTGGAGAGGGTTGTTCATCATTTGAATCCTTTCTCTGAGAGCACATCAGTGCCATCAGCCAAAGGAAGATGAAGCAGTCAGAGGAGAGCTGGCCAGCACCGAGAAGGAGGAGGAATGTGAGGAAAGAAAATGTCACTTCAGCAATAGCATCTTTGGGTTCAGTTTTTATATGGAATTCCTGTTACCAGGACAGCAGGAGGTCACACAGCACAGAGGATTGGAACTGTGCTACAGGTGTAGTTCAAAGAGCACCTTCAGTGTGGGCTTAGCTGGGTGCTTTGCTCCCATCTCAAGGTATGATAAAATCAGAGCAATGAGGAAAGCTGGATGTGGGAGACATGACTTACAACAAGAAGGGTCTTCAAAATGCCATATCCTTTGGCTTTCTCCTGCAACCAAACCCTCAAATGTCTTTCTCCTCTCTCAGTCCAGCCTCCGCAGTTCCCCTTGCGCCAACTGGGGCACCAGCAGCAACTGGGGCAGCCGACGCTCAAGCTGGAATAGCCTGGGCAGAGCCCCAAGCCTCAAGAAGAAGAACCAGTCAGGAGAAAGAGAGTCCTTGCTCTCTGGGGAGGGGAAAGGCAGCACAGATGATGACTCTGATGATGCCAAGTCCAGCACAGTGAGCAGACCCTCGCTGCACCGCCGGGCAGAGTCCCTGGACTACCGCAGCTCCTTGGACTTGCCGGAGCTGCTCCAGCTGCCCACCATGCGCCACTCGCTCAGCATCAGCCCTGTGGCTCTTCTGCCTGCTGAGTACCAAGACTGCAATGGCAAAATGGTTCATGTCCCCAGCGAGTTCTTCCTGCGTGTGGATGGTCACAAGGAGGACACTATGGACTATGAGGATGACATGGAGGATGTGAGTTGAGGGGAAGATTGGGTGGTCATGCATTAAGTGGCTTTTTCACTCCAGGAAGGAATGTCTTTGCTCACAACAGCTGTTTGGCATCCCAAAAGCTTGAAAACAAAGAAAGAATGTTTCCTACTTAACTTTTTGGTTGTTTGAGGCCTTTATGGTTTTGACAGAACTTTGGATCTCAGAATGAGTCCTGCCTAGAAGTCTTGCTTTGTCATGCTCCTCTCTCACTGTACAGCAGCCCCTTTCTTTCCCCCCTTTCCTTGCTGTTTTGTTGGACACATGTGACAATGCTTGCCACAGCTCTGTCCTAAAAGCCATGCCCCCTTTCACAAAAGGACTGTGAAAGTTGAAGAGGCAGGAAAATAAAAGAGGAAGAAAAGGTGTGTCTTCTTTTCATTCCAGAGTTACTGCTACCGGATTCGCAAAGCCCTGGAGCCCTACAAACCACAGTGGTGCAAGACTCATGAAGACTGGTCCCTCTATGTGTTTTCCCCACAGAATCGGTAAGAAATCCAAAGGAAATGCCAACCCCCCAGGTTTTGTGGTAATGGAATGTTATATTTCTAGCCAGCCTTCCCTTCCCTTTGATGGAGAAACACTGAGAGGGTTAGAAATCCAGTTCCTGCTTTTTAGGTAACTTTTTGTGTTATATGTGGGTAGAATTGTTGCATGGTTCACTCCATGCCTGTCAAGAAGAAGGATGGTTTAACCAGCATTAATAGCTGTTGTTACATCTTGCTTACTGCACTGATAATAATGGCTGTAGCTTGTGGAGTGCTCACTACTTGGGCTGATGCTGGTGGCACAGCTACTAAAGCCTTTTGAGGATGTGCCGTTCAGGTGGGAGTCTCTTACTGACCCAAACATCTAAAGGATATTTTGCTCCCCACCATTTCTGCAGGTTCCGAGTGATGTGCCAGAAGGTCATTGCCCACAAGATGTTTGATCATGTGGTGCTGGTCTTCATATTTCTCAACTGCATCACTATAGCACTGGAGCGACCAGACATAGACCCACACAGCACAGTGAGTACCTAAGTCATTTTCCTCCTTGATCCAGCATCCAGACCTTGGTCTTGCCTAGGAAAGGTCTTGTGTAGGCAAGACCCTGCAAGATTTAAGATGTTTGTTTTCTAACCTCTTAAAATAACTTGCCTCTTTTTGTTGCTCTGTGTTTTGCAGGAGAGGATATTCCTAAGTGTTTCTAACTACATCTTCACTGCAATCTTTGTGGCTGAAATGATGGTTAAGGTAATTGCATCTTCATAGCGAGGCCTGGCAAAAACCATAACATGACATAGTTATGATCTGGGTGAAGATGTAAATGTCTCTCTTCTCCTGGCTGTAGGTGGTAGCTCTTGGCTTTTTCTCTGGGGAGAACACCTATCTGCAGAGCAGCTGGAATGTCCTGGATGGAGTCCTGGTCTTCGTATCTATCATTGACATTATTGTCTCCATGGCATCGGCAGGTGGAGCAAAGATCTTGGGTGTCCTTCGTGTTTTGAGACTTCTGAGGACTTTGAGACCTCTCAGGTGTGTTCACTGACAGGGTGGCTGACTTGCTTTATGTTGAGAGACCAAAAAACACACATGATCTGGCAAGGTCTTGCTTAATAACACAAAAAGCTGAGCACAGTTATGGGTAGAAGCATCTTTTGGGGAGCTGTGACATAGTGAGACTGTTTGGAAACAGTGAAATGAGTTATAATTCATCTTCTCCAGCACGGAAAAGAGCAGATGGAGTTTGGAGTGAGAGGTCTTATCATACTCAGGCAGTCAGTGCTGTGAATGCCTCCTCTATGCTGCATTTTTATCACCATTTTACAAATCAGTCTGGCTCCTTGTTATTCAAGTCATTCCCAAGCAAAGAGGTCACGTTGACTGAGAGAGAATTTACAACTGAACAGGTACTGACAATAATTTGATAAGCTCCAGCATCTCTACCTGCTCTCCCATTACTGCAGAACAATTTAGCTCTCAGCAAGCTGGAGGAAGGGGAGATGCTTTCAGTAGGTGAGAAAGGGAATAAAGAGAATTGGTATTTTGTTTACTATTATGCAGTAACAAAGAGCGTTAATGCTTGGGGGATTTTTATCAGCTCATGGCTCCTGTGCTGTTTCTGTCCTGCTTGGCAAGAAATGCAAGCCTTTTTCATTAAATTTCAGGGGAAATAAGATAGGCACCTCCAGAGACAGGTTTGCTTATGAGAGTAATAGGAAAAGGCCATCTTGTTTGGGCTCATGACTACAAGAACAACAGCTATTTATCTGCTGTTCTGTATTTCCTTAGTGACAAGTAACTTCATGAGTGTCTGTCTCCTCTCTTGCTCCCATGCTCTGTTCTTCTGGTGGCATCGGGGCCTTGCAGTGCTGGCTCACCAGGAACCACCCTGGGCAAGCCTTGGCCTGGCAGCACCTCAAGACACCTAATACACATAACTAGGAACAGAAATCAGGCCATGGGCAATAAGTAAACCTAAGGGGGAAAAAGGGAGTTGGTCTTTGAGAATAAGTAGGCCAGATCCTATTAATAGGGAGGAATTCATCACCTCTCATGATGGCTTCACTTAACACAGCCTCCTCCAGGATTACTCCAGGGACCATTCCTAACACTTTGTAGGTGCAGTTCAGACTGCCACATGATTTGCTGCCAAACAAGACCCTATTGAAAAGCTTTGTCCCTGCAGCATACAACTCTCCTCTTTCCTCTGTGGCTGGCAGGCATGAAGCATCATTAGATGTGCAAGCTCAGGCTACCTGCAAGGACTTCTACCCTCTACAGGCCCCTCCTAAAACCAGCTTTGATGTTCTTCAGTAAAAACACCCCTTCGCAGAACTTGCTTGGGCTGGTTGCACTTACATGTGCTAGCACATTTCTCAGACACCCATGGGAGAGCCATTCTCCAGGCACTCATACAGGAAAGCAAAACACTTCTTCTCCATAATACCCAAAACCTGCTTCAGGCTGTGCTCTCACAGCAAGCTGCTCTTTAATGGGATGACCCTTTGACTGTGGAGCTGTTGATCACAAGTTGCTGTTAGCCAAGAGGCAGTGCAGGAACTAATTAGGAAACAAACTGAAATTACTTTGTTTGAGAAGTTGTCCTGGGCCCCAGGGCAGGAGAGCACTTATGGCTGTAGAAAGAGGACAAGACATGCTGAATTAGCACATGTTGTGTTAGGAAGCAGGCTCCTGCCTGGTGTGTGCCCCTCTGCTTGGATCAGGGAGACGTCAGAGAGGACCAGCTCTCTGGACTGAGGTATAAATAGCGCTGAAGTGGGATCCTCTGTGGTATTCTGCCCATAGAGAGTATTCCCTCCTCACTGTTACTCGTAAGCAATTGCCCAACACTCTGCTGACAGGATGTCTTATACTCCTTTAATTCCATCTGATGTGACTGTGAATGTTCTGGTTGTCCAGATAAGTCACTGATCATCACTGAATGCTGCCTGCAGGTAGAGGAGGGTTCTGTTAGCTTTACTGCAGCCCAAGCAGAGGAGGAAAACCAACCATACTAAAACCTTTATTGTTTTGCCATTTTTTCCAGAGTCATCAGCAGAGCCCCAGGTCTGAAGCTGGTGGTAGAAACCTTGATCTCCTCCTTAAGGCCTATTGGGAATATTGTCCTCATCTGCTGTGCTTTCTTCATTATCTTTGGGATTTTAGGGGTCCAGGTATAGTATTTCCCTCCCCACAGCCATCTCAAAGTGACTGCTGCAAAAGAGAAGCTGTTTTTCTTACCACCTGGGGTTAAGGTGGAAGTACTGAGCTTAAATATCTCCAAAGGGAGATTTCAGTTAGGAAAGAAGAGCCAGGCCCTAGAAGAAATGCTCTGGGGTGGAGTTGTCATCTGCTCACTGGAGGCTTCCTAGAATTAGAAGAGCAGCCCTCCCTGATGAACAACACAGCACCAGCTAAGCCTGTCTGGGGGTAGGGGAAAGAAAACATGAATTCCCAAGATCCCTCCTAGCTCTGTGCACTAGGATGTGTAGAAGGTTGTCACCCTCCCAACAAGACAGGGCTGGCTTGCAGGATCACAACAATATGTCAGGGCCTGAAGTTTCACCAGAGGTGTTTTCCTGCCTTGTGTGCTAAGACAGGAATCTGAGCTGGAAGAAAAGGAAAGGAATTTGAACTTGGCAAACAACTACTGGGGGAAAGAAAGATAAATCAGAGATAGACTTTTCAAAGCCTCTTTTTTGCTTTTTGTTTTTTTTGGTGCTTCTCAAATACAGCTTTTTAAAGGCAAGTTCTACTACTGTGATGGTCCTGATGTGAAAAACATCACTACAAAGACTGACTGCACCAACGCTCGCTACAGATGGGTTCGGCGGAAGTACAACTTTGACAATTTGGGACAGGTAAAGTCTTCACTGCAGGGATTTTCTGTACCAGTTTTGAATGGATGAGCAGTCAAAATGTATTCCTTGAGACAGGTGTGGAACCTTTGTCATAGGAAGTTTCCAGGAACAATTCATCTATCAGAAGCAACCCTCAGGATCAGGTCACGTCTTGATCTCCTGCAGCCAGACTTCCTAGGGTTAAACAGTTCCTTGTTTATAGGAGAGTGTTATCTTAAAGCTACTGTTTTTACATGCAGCCCCTCCTGTCTGGACCTCAACTGTCACTTTTAGTCTCTTGACTTCTACCCGTTACATTTGCGATTGAAATAAAATAAGGTGTTATACACTGGCTGAAAAGCAAGACAGCCCAGAGGAAGAGCTTGGATATATTGTTGCCTTTTAAAACCCCGTGATACTGAGCCAGCCTGCAATACTGACTTTTTATCATGCTCTGGTGACCAAAAAGCCTCATGTGTCTAAGCATAAGTCAGCCTGTATGTGAGAGAAAAGGAGTGTTAACAGATGTAGTTTGCTCTCTTTTAAGCCAGATATGGAAATAGGTAAAAGCAGCCACAATATGTTGCATTTCTCCACCAGCTCCAGGCCAGATGATGTGTTCTGAGCTGTGCATTGGTTTTGCTGAGTGTTGTCTGTTGTATTTTCTTTTCTGGCAACTAAAATGCAAGACCAAGCTTTTCTGTTTGTTTATTTTCATCTAGGCCCTCATGTCCTTGTTTGTCCTCTCCTCCAAAGATGGCTGGGTGAACATCATGTACGATGGTTTGGATGCTGTGGGTATTGACCAACAGGTAAATATACTGCAGAGTCCAGCTGTGTTGCTCTCACAAGTCTCATGCTGGGGTGACGAGTGGTTTTGAAGTCCCAGGAAGGAACAGAGCTATAGGAACTGATTGTGTATTGGGCTGCCAAGGTTTTCTGTTCTCCACTGAGTACCATGTACATAAACAAGCACTGATGGGGTTTTTAATTTGAATGATGGTACTTGAGGAGGGCCACATGTGCCACTGCACTGCAGCTTCATGGAAAACATGATGAATAAGAGCAAACTCACATGAGATGGGAAAAAAACAGGAATGCTATGAAAGAGAGATTAAGTTTGCGTATTATGTGGCATTTGCAAAGGGAAGTCAAGAGTCTTTGATGAGTAGTACCCAATTGTAGCTACAGTAACACTTTGTACTTAATTTCCTCCTGCTGCTGAAGATCTCTGAACAACTGAGAAACATTAACCATGAGCTCACATCTAAATAAAAATAAGCTGGAGCCTATCTTTAACTAAATTGATCTTGCAGGTGTGATGATGCACATCCACTGAGATTTATCTTAAGCTGTGTGAAATAACTGCCAGTTCAGTCCTGTAAGCCCCCATATGGAGGCCAGGATGGGTTTTACAACAGAAGTAAAATTCTAGTCAGTGAGAAAGTGAGTGAGAGGAAACTGTTTGGGGAAAAATCTCCTGACTCCTCTCAGCCCTCTCCTCCTCCCCACAACAGTGTACTGTGATGTCTTGTTGCTACAGAGTGCCCAATACCCTGACCTCCACACATCATGTCTATGCCACCTAGAATCATTGAATCATAGAATGGTTTGGGTTAGAAGGGACCTCAGATCATCCAGTTCCAACCCCCTGCCATGGGCAGGGACACCTCACACTAAACCATGTCACCCAAGGCTCTGTCCAACCTGGCCTTGAACACTGCCAGGGATGGAGCATTCACCGCTTCTTTGGGCAACCCATTCCAGTGCCTCAGCACCCTCACTGTAAAGAACTTCTTCCTTATATCCAACCTGAACTTCCCCTGTTTAAGTTTGAACCCATCACTCCTTGTCCTGTCACTCCAATCCCTGATGAAGAGTCCCTCTCCAGCATCCTTGATAGACCCCCTTTAGGTGTTGGAAGGCTGCTGTGAGGTCTCCGCGCAGCTTCTCTTCTCCAGGCCGAACTTCTCTCTTTGTTTTCTAATTCCCCACCTCACCAGCCCATCCAGAACCATAACCCTTGGATGCTTCTCTACTTCATCTCCTTCCTGCTCATCGTCAGCTTCTTCGTGCTCAACATGTTTGTGGGAGTGGTGGTGGAGAACTTCCACAAGTGCCGCCAGCACCAGGAGGCGGAGGAGGCCCGGCGGCGGGAGGAGAAGCGCCTCAGACGCCTGGAGAAAAAGCGCAGGAGTAAGGAGATGTACCTGTCTGGTCGGTAGACTGCATTACAAACCCAAATCTTTCTGAGCCCTGCCTGCTCCCAAAGCAAGACTTTCATTTCCCTTTGGTTTTGTTTCCATGGGATTTCAAAACGCTGTTTTATTTCGTTACCTCTTTAGTGCGGTACCTTAAGTCTTGGGTTGCCAACACCCTGGAATTGTCCTCTACAAGCCCGAAGTAAAGCATTACCTGTTTACTTGGCTGGGGAGGAAATCCTCCTCCAAGCAGAGCTCTCTGTCGTGCTCTGCAAGGCAAAAGTGTCCCAAGCACCGAGCGGGAGCTTGCGGTGTGCCTGAGGGATGCAGTGAGTAAACAGCTCAGTGCTTACTGTGTGCATGAAGGCCAGTCCCAAGGGTAGCCCAGTGGCTTAAAGTGCCGCTTGCATCTGAGGATGGTGGTGGTTTGATTTATGAGTTCTTTTCTTAGACAAAATAAGTGTGATGCTTTATAGAGTCTTAGCGCATGGCCCTGCATGCCACAAACATGCTGCATGAGGGCATGAACAAACCCACAGGCCTGGGGAGAGGAATGGAGCCCCAGGATGGGGCTGTCCAGAAAATTCTTCTCTGGAAGATGTCCATTACAAGAGATGCTGCCCCATCACAGGCTGGGGGAGCTGCTGGGACTCAGTTTGTCCTTGCACTCAGTCTACATGGAAATACCAGCCAGATGCAGGGCCATTACAGTGCAACAGAAGGCCTTTAGCTTCAGCTCCTCCTCAGTGGATCTAGTAGGGACCATCAAACCAGACCAGAAAAACTCCTGAGCTTGTGCTCCTTTCCTGACCCAAACCTTCCCAGGGATTCTCATGTATTAATTCTCACCTCCACTGCTCCTTGGCAGGTTCTGCCAGGGACAAGGTGCCTGTAGCATCTGGTGGGTATTCCCAGGGAAACTGCCAGGAAAACAGCCACACCAACTTCCCAGCCAGTTTTAGTGAGCAGGGGTAGCCTGCATTAGATGCTGGCAAGCATTTTTAGAAGTAAGTGAGGGAACATGGCTTGGCCACAGTGATGAAAGATGAGCTTAGTCAGGGATAAGGCTTGAGTGCTTCCAGTCCTGCTCACTGCAGCAGTCCTGTGGCTCTTTGCCTAGCACTGTGCTGCCCTCTGTGATCTCCTGTAAGGACCCCTGTGACAAATGGCTTGTTGTTTCCCTAACAGCAAGCCATAGGTATCCATTTTTAGCTGGGAAGACTGTAGTTAGATCAAATAGTCTTTTGCCTGGCTCTAAGGACATAGCAATCAGAGGGTTTGCTAGTAGAAACCCAATTCTCACAGCTTCTTTCCTGCTCTTGTGGTCCTCTTTATTAGAGCCATGGGACACCTCAGCATTAAATGTCTGCACCATGGTCTCCACAGGGCCTTAATGACAGGGTGACCTGACACCACAGTGAAAGCCAAGCCCATTTCATCTTAGGTAGTTGTGAGGTAAGTTCGAATGAAATCTAGATCAAACCAGCCAGCTGCAAACCGACGTTGAGTCTCTCCAGAGATTTAGAAGAGTTCAAATGCAATTTCATTTCCCTTTTCCCATCTTGGTTTTTGAGTTTGAAGTTCCATCTAGGATTAGAAGTGGAAATCCTGGAGGCAGCATTTCCAGCACAATAAAAGAAATCGGTTTCAGGCTCTCAAGAGTCTTCCTGCTTGTGCAGCAGTTCTCCCCCAATGTGCTGACCCAAGAAGACATTCAGATAAACTCAAAGCTTATGTGCAGAAAAAAAGCTTATTTACAAAGAAAATGAAGCATCTTTAGACAAAATAGACTGGGGCATAGGTAAGGAGGCATAGCTTAATCACAGCCAGTTGCTGTTCCTGATTAGTAAGTAAATCTTAGGACAGCCTGCGCTTAGACACCAAGAAGAGCCAGTCCCTGTCAAAGTGATGGACACTGTTCCATTGCCCCTCTTTCTTTATTCAGCTATCTTGAAAGGCTAGAGTCAAGGAGATACTTCAGACCCAGGCATTGCGCAGATGCAGGTTGTAACATTTCACTGCAGAGCACACAGGGAGGAGGACAGCTTTCTGGAAGGGGATCAAGTCCAATATAGCAACTGAGAGGCTAAATGTTTGGCCATGTGTTGAGCTTCCAGGAGGTTATCTCAGATCGTCTGGCTCTGAGGTCTCCTGTGTGCCTCTGTTCAGCATGGACAGCTTGGTGGCCAAATATTAGTCACAAACAAGGTGAAATCAAGTATCTGATACACATTTTGGAAGGTCACTATTTGCATTTTAATGGATTTCTTAATTATTATTTAAATGGGAGAAGTTTTCACCTCCTGGGTAATTCAGAACATGATGGATTTGGTGAAAAAACGTGGCAGACTCAGAAAGATGTGAAATGTGGTTGGTGCCATCTGTGTGTGGCTGAGTCTCTGGGGGGAGTGTCTGTGTACACATGCAGGCATGGGATGCTACATATGCTTTCCACGTGCCCCAGAGCTGCGTGTCACCCATATGGAGGAGCAGGTGAGAGGCCAATCCCCATGGGGCAGGATGGGCACAAGAGCCTACACTGGGAAGCCTAACAGAGAACCTTGCTTTTGCTTCAGTTGCCATTTCTAGTAGCTGGCCTGAAGAGACCATAAAAAGGAAGAAGAATTTGGGCTGTTAACAAGACTAAAATCCAGCATAGCCAACAGATGTACCTGAGCAACACGTCTGGACTCGCTCTGTCTGCCTGGCATCTTGTCTTTGTGTCCTGTCTGTAATGTCCTCTGTGTGTAGCAACCCTGTGTGTATTTCTGTGTATTGAGGTCTTTGGGCATCTTGTAGATACCTACACACAGAGAAACACATCATTGAGACACAGCAGGCTTGGGCTCAGGCCTGGAAATGGATTACATCTCATCTTATCAGTGCCGGGATGTTTCCATCTGAGCAGGCCCTGGGTACAAATCCCAGGCTCTGCAGGCTGGGTCCAGGATTTGGACCTGTGTGCAGAGCTATGAGCCTGGCAGAGGGATTGCTCCATGGAGGACACAGCCCTGCAGCAGGACAGAGCTCCTTCACGTGCCTGTTTTGGGGGTACTTTCAGGAACCTGGCGGAAAGGTCCCTTTCAGCTCACAGCTATTAGGCACCACCTCAGACCTTTCCAGAAAGTTTCTTGTTCCCCATCTGAGGGCCACTGGCACAGGGTGACACCCCACAGCCCTTGTCAGCATGCCTTGACTCTTTCCACTGCTGCAACAAGCAGCACTCGAGGCACCAGCAACAGAGCTCGTAGAATCAATGAGGTTGGAAAAGACCTTTAAGACCTAACATGTCAGCAGGGTGCTGGTTCCATGAGGGCAGCCCAGCCTCCAGAACCAGGCTACAATAAACTCGGCACTGAAAGAAGGCATTGGGCTTGCCAGTTAACTCAGCTCACATGAGAAGATAGGGCAAGGGGTTGGAATACACTGCAGAAATGCATTTGATGTGGTTTTCAAAGGCAGAACTGCACAATGTGCTATTAAATATGAAGGTAAAAATTCAAGATAAACTAGAATACTAAGATAAACTCCATCCACTCTATCTACTATGTAAATACGTGTAGTGTAATTTAGCAGTCCTGCAGTTCCTAACCTTTTAATGAGGTTCTCAGAAGACACAGACCAAAACCAGCCTCCCCACATTCAATTTTTGTATTAAAACCACATGGATCAGCTTCATCTCCTCTGTATTCAGGAGACGAGGCCAAATCCAACCCTCCTGTCTGTGCTGTGAAGCCCTGAGCAGAGCCTGATGTCAGGTCACACACAGGCAGTGCTCTGGGGCTTCAAAGGCTGGGAGTGGGGTCTGGGTGGTGGTGTGTGCTGAAAGCAGTGCAGGCAATGCTGGAAGTGCCTGGCCCAGCCTGGGGAGGCCCAAGCTGGGGAGCAGCGAGTGCTTTCCAGTAGTGTCACCGAGTCACTGGTCTCTGGGAAGACCCCAAAATCAGAGAACTCAGAAAATAAATGCTTTTTCCTGATTTCTGCTCTATGAGCGTGGTCACAGCTGTGTTTCTCTGAGGCATTTCCCAACAGAGAATGGAGCATCTGGGCATTCTAGAAGGAAGAGGCCGGTTTTGTTTTAAGACCCAGCAGAGCTGCCTTTCACAGCACTGACTGCAAGTCGTCTGCTCTAGGGGGGAGCAATCGTGGGCAGCACAGTGGTATTTAAATGCCTTAACCATGTCTGGAACCAGCAGAAATATTTGAGCTGTAACGAAAAGTTTGGGCATATCTGCACAATATTTCCAACTAGGGAATTATCAAACTATCTTGCTTATTTTTCCAGGCAGCTGCAGGTATAAAGCTACTCCATGCCAAGCATGCATATAAACCCATTAGGGCTTTCTAATGTTTCATGCAGAGGAGAATAATGGAGGAGCTGTAGCTAGCAATTGGAATGCCAACCTAAATGCTTTTAAGCTAAGAGACAGTGCTTCATTAGTTTTCATGTCAGCAGAATCACCAGCAAAGTAGTTGAAATACTCTGCAGAAAGGTGAGGTTCAAGCATTAGCCAACATGTAGAAGTGGGGTCTAGAAAGGACTGTGGTTTTGCTTTTGTGTATGTTTGATGGTTTCTCCTTTTCCTCCTGCATTTCCACCAATTCAAACTATCAGCTGCAGGGATACTTGTCTGTGTTTGATGTAAATCTGCTAGTTGGCTGAGTGGAGCCTCATCCCAGAAGCTGTTTCCCTGGAAAAAACAGACCCAGGTTGCATTTGTCTGCAGTAATTAATGATGCATTAGATCTCCCCTGTTTGCTATGCCCGCATCCCTATGGTCCAGTGTTCTCATACAGGTTCTCCTGCAGGCTCCACATCTCTGGCTGAGCAGGCTGTGCAGCAAACACTTAACACCCAAGCTGGGGAGAATAATGTAGTATATCCTCACTAAGAAGTAAAAATGTGTGTCTGAACTGAGAGGAAGCCAGAGGCACTCACTGTGCTGTTGACTGAAATAAAATTCCTGATCCTAAAGGGACCGGGAATGAACACTGACCCGGCAGAGATGAGGGCTTTGGAGCTCATCCTGCAGCCTCCCTCCTGCTCGGAGCAGGTCAGAGCTGCAGTGAAGCTGTGTGGCTGACCTCTCACTGCTTTCACCCTGCTGCAACCCCTCTGCCTCCATGGGCTTGTCCTGACCCAACGTCAGCATCACCAAGAGCAGAAGCTGGGCTGTCCTTCCTGCACACCCCTGCTCACCACTGTTCGCCTCGCATGAGCAGCATCTCCTCTAATGGACATTGCATGGGTTACTGCACCAAGCATGACTGTGTTGTTGCACGTGTTTCAAAGCCTTGTCAACTTTGTCCCAGATTGTCCTTGTATGTGTCCCCCCAGGAGAAGTTTCTTTTTCATCTGTTAACTTCGCTTCAGGGGTGCATTGCATCCTAAATGAGTAAGGTTAGACAGTAGTTAGAATCATAGAATGGTTTGGGTTGGAAAGGACCTCAGATCATCTAGTTCCAACCCCCTGCCATGGGCAGGGACACCTCGCACTAAACCATGTCACCCAAGGCTCTGTCCAACCTGGCCTTGAACACTGCCAAGGATGGAGCATTCACAACTTCCTTGGGCAACCCATTCCAGTGCCTCACCACCCTCACAGTGAAGAACTTCTTCTTTATATCTAATCTAAACTTCCCCTGTTTCAGTTTGGACCCATCACCCCTTGTCCTATCACTACAGCCCCTGATGCAGAGTCCCTCCCCAGCATCCTTGTAGCCCCCTGCAGACACTGGAGGCTGCTCTGAGGTCTCCAACAGCTTCTCTTTTCCAGGCTGAACAGCTCCAATTTTCTCAGCCTCTCTTATGGGAGCTGCTCCAGCCCCTGATCATCCTTTGGCCTCCTCTGGACTTGCTCCAACAGCTCCATGTCCTTTTTGTGTTGAGGACACCAGAACTGTGCACAGTACTCCAAGTGAGGTCTCACAAGAGCAGAGTAGAGACACAGGATCACCTCCTTCGACCTGCAGTAGTTGCGGTCACCTACAGCCTGTTTTCCTTCTGTGCTGCTAGCCAGCATATCCACACACCACACAGCACTGCTAATGGTCTTCTGAGCTCCATTAATCAACCATTTGTTGTTAATAAATAGTCCCTTAATATAACATTTGGCTATTTGGGGTATTCTGGGACCACCCAACAAGCTGATATTTTGCATTTCCAAGAAGACACTTCCAAACAGAAACCTAAGAAGTGTGTTGTAATCCTGAACACACATGAAAGCACATTGTGCAGGCTCAAATAAATATTATACTGCAATGTTTTTATTAGTAATTTTCAAACAGAGCAGAAGATCAGCTGAGCTCAGTAGCAAACACAGCTCTAACCAGTCCAAGATGACCACTAGGACTAAGGCACGTGGCACATGAAAGCAAGAGAAAAATGTATTCAGAACAATTGTGTTTGCTTTCATCTTGTTTTTCCACACCCATTAGGAGGAAAAAAGCAGCCTAGGTGACCCTGGTCAGAAGGAAATGCTTTTCAAATGCCTGTGTCTCCACTCCACTTTTAGCTGCCAGAAAAAATAGGAGCTGAAAGAGAGCATCAGGTTCAGTTTCCCTTTATCCAGTTTTAGGGGTTTGGACTTGAATCTGGCATCAGTTGCACTACCAAAATAATCCCCACATTTCCAAAGTCCCTCTATCTGAAAGATATCAGCAAGATGAGAGGAGTGGAAGATGTGTTGCAGGGGGGCACTGAGTACTTTTGAACTTATTTCTCTCCTGATTTGCAACTCTTTCCTAGCTCCTCGTGCTGAATTGGCCAAAACATGAGCAAAACCCCCTCTCTCTGTTAAGAACACTCCTGCCCTCACTTAGTACGACCCAACATGTCTCTTCCACTTGCAAACTCTACAGCAATGCTGACTTTGGCCTTAAGTACACTCTTTGAATATTTACATTTCTTAAGTTTGAGAAATATGTGCCTCCATCCAAGCACCCACAACCATCCCGTGGTCATGGTCTAAATTAAGAGAGGCACATTCAGTAAATACAGCTCGGTCACAGGGCAGTGTCTAAACTGTCTCCTTGGAACAGGCCCAGGCACTTGGTCATGTGCAGAAACTTCCCCATTCAAAGAGAAGAAAGGAAGAGTCCTGACCAGAGAGAGAGATGATACAAAATTCATGTGGTCAGAGCCTGAGTGGGGTTTTAGATGCAACCATGCCCTTGGTTTGATATTTCCATAGGAGCTTGTGCTGATGGTCTTTGTAGAAACAAGTGCTGAGCACCTCGCCCTCGCTCCATTGTTGTTGATGTTCTCCTGTGTGCTGTAACCCTCACGCATGTGCCCTACTTTGCCACAGGCATTGCTGTGTCTTCTTTAGACCTTTAAAATATGCCAAAAGGCTTCTGTTACAAAAGCTGAGCTCAGGGTATGTTCTCTTATGTGGAACATGCCTGGCATCAGCAGGATGAAGAGAAATTAGACCTGCCCTGAGCCTTTCCTCCAAACTGGAGTTGAAGCTTTGCTGAGTTTGAAGCTTTTCTCTTGGCTTTGGTCTAATTTCCATCCTGCTTCTCACCCTTCTATATGTGATAAGAGTCCCATGAAGTGGAGGGGTTGTCCTCTAGCTTGAGACAGAGCACTAAGGACAGAGAGTACTTGGGGGAGAAAAAGGACCTGGTTTTCAAAGCTGCAGAGCTCCATTCTACAGGCACAAGAGGTTTGACTCAGCTACTGTAGTTCTCACTGCTGGGTGGAGTCACTTGGCCATTTCACAGGGCTTGCTTGAATCAGTTCTGCCACAGGCTTTGCCCTGCATCAGGGTGTGTGTAAGACCTGACCTATAGGCCACGTTGTGATGGCTGCCAACCGTGCAGCAGGGCCTGTGTTCATTGTGTTGCCTTTCTTTCTCCTTCTCCTGCAGAAGCCCAACGCAGGCCTTACTATGCTGACTATTCCCCAGCAAGGAAGTACATCCACACCCTCTGCACCAGCCACTATCTCGACCTCTTCATCACCTTCATCATTGGGGTCAATGTCATCACTATGTCAATGGAGCACTACAACCAGCCAAAGGTAAGAGCCACGCATCAACGTGTTGGCTGTGAAACACAGCAGCATGGGATAGCAGAGGACCTGAGGACCATACACTGTCCCTTTAAGATACCATTGAGGTCTGCAGCCAGCCCTGCCTCCATGGGACCATTCTCTGTTGGTTTTAAGCTTCAGCAGGCTCCAGACTCAGCATTACAACCCATCCAACTCTAGGCCAGCTTTACCATGTGGGAGTCACTTGTCTCAGCCAAAAGCTTGATTTCACTGCTCTTGTGTTAAAAAAACAGAGAATAACAGAGAGTGAACTAAACTTTTACTAGGAAAAGACCAGGCCAAATATTTCCTCTCCAATCCCAGACGTGCCTGCTCCTCATATTGTAAAACAGTCCAGAGTTTTGGAATATTCCACTAACAGATATAAACATAAAGTTAATGCATGCAGAGCAACGTTTCTTTTCCTCAATGAATTTAGAGTAAACCAACTGTTAAGTACAACCCTTCTTTACATATCATAAAATAATCCTTTCTAGCAAAATCTTTGGCATAAATGATACAGCCTGTCCATTTGCTGCATATATTAATGCTCCATTCCATTGTTCACAGAGCTCTAGGCTCAGGATTTACTTTTCTGGTAGTGCATGGTCTGCCAGGTAACCTGCAAATGCCTTCTGGATGCTAAAGCCAGAGGGGCACCAAGCCCCAGGGTAGTGTGTGTGTGTTTCACACCAGCTGACTGGGTGCTGTTCTGCCCCAATAATTCCTTTGCATAACAGCCTTTGTTTCTCATATAAATATTATTTATCCAGGTTAGCTCTTTCTTACCCTTGGTTTATGTTCATGTAAAACAGTGTTGTAAATCTGAATGCAAACCATCACTCAGGCAGCGTGCTTCAGGTGAAACAGTAAATTGTCCCAAATTCTTTGAAGTTACTATTTCATTTTAGACTCTGGAACAAAACTAGGAATTGTAGCACATTGAGGAATGTCTGAAGAACTTTCAGCTCTTGTTCCCAAATGATCAGTGCATGGCCATCCTGCATGGCTGGGCTCAGCAAAGCAGTCACCACACATACAAGATGAGGAGAGCTTTCCTGTGGCCTGAGGCTCCCTCTGTCAACAAAGCAGACGTTGCTTTGCAGACTCTTCTATTGCATTTTCATTCCAATTGTGTCTGGTTTGATGTTCATTGTTGTCATTTTCTTACTGCAAGAGACCTCTGCTACATTTAACTAAATTCCCCTTTCCCCCGTCCTCTCCCCAAATCCCCACACAACCAAAGAGCTGTTTCACTCTGCAATTATCTATTTTAAGGTCCCAACAAGATTCTTTTGCTATTGTTAGCCCACAATTCCAATGAAATCCATTATAAACACTCATCATCTTACAGTATAAACACTGTGGATTCCTGACTTCCGAGGGCAGCTCTGTAGAGAGCATGAACATTGCACCAAATATGGCCATCCTCTGCCCAGCTCTAGAGATGTGACATGGTTCAAGAAGGCAAGATTTAATCCATCTCCAACATTAGTTCTTTTTCTAAGCATTTTAAGCAGAGCCATTGTCCTAAGGATTGCCATGCTGGAATAAAGAAATGATCCATCAAGTCTTTTATTCTGCCCAAGGCAAGACAGTTCAGAAGAAGTAAACTTTATTAGATGGGGAAAGGGTAGAATTTCTCTGTGACCCAGACCAAACAATCTGTGCACTGAAAATGGGGGATGGATAGCTCTTGACTAACATTAGTGCTTATGAGGTTTTTGTTTGCATCAGTGTCTAATCCTTTAGTTGAGTTTTGATGTATGATTTAGTGCAGTTTTGCAACTGAGCTCTTCAAGCTGTTGTGACTTTCCTTCTTATATCTCTGTATCTATGCCATCCTTGTGCCTGCCAGTACCCCCTCAGGGTTGGGCTGATCTAACTGGTGTCTCTCTTTTCAGTCCCTGGATGAAGCCCTGAAGTACTGCAACTACGTGTTCACCATAGTTTTTGTGTTTGAGGCAGTTCTGAAGTTGGTGGCATTTGGGTTTCGAAGGTTCTTTAAGGACAGGTGAGAGTATTTGAAACTCCTTTGTGTTTGGGGTAGAGCTGTACTGACCCAGTTACAAAGCCAGATGCTGGGTAAATGTAGCATTACTGTGATCGTACTACACGCTGTGTGCAAGGAAGAGCAAAGGGCTGTCTCTCCATGGGTGCAAACTTTATAGTCTAGGAGCTAGACATTCTAAGAACTAATGGTGTTGTTTTGCAGAAGGAATTTGGGAAGTCTTACAACATTCTAGATACATTTTTTCCCCCAGTATCTGCCTCTCCACCAGGTCTGACCAGTTCACTTTAGAGGTCAGAAACAACTTGTTGGCATCAGTGCAATCCTGAAGAGTAGTTTTGCCAACCTGAGGTCACAAAGTCCCTCAGAATAAGCCTCCTTTGCAGTCCAAACCAGGCATTTGATAGCCTGCTGCCTTTGTAAAGCCTTTGGCAAAGACAGACGTAGTTGTGTTCAGCCCCACTGCCTTCAGATTCCCACCTGCAAGGGCTTATAGATTTTCTCCTGCCTCACATTTAGCCAGAAACAAATGTGTATGAAAGCACATTGTGGTCTGGTGGGGAGCAGGGTAAGATTGGACACTTTTCCACAAGATCAGCTTGTTTGCTTCCTTTATCCTGACCGTGTGGTTGAATGCTGCAAGGAGCAATATTAGTTATGAGGGTAATTGTGCAGTAAAGATACTCAGTTTCGTCACATCTTGCTGTCTTTCTTGTGCTGGTGTGGAAACCTCAATGAATACCTATAAATCGTGGAGTAGTTCAAAAGCCAGGTGACATAACATGGGAGCAGCTATACTGCATCACAGCAAAGATCCCTCTAGCCTAGTACCTTGTCCCTGAGAGTGGCTCCAAGTGGGTAGTAGAGGCACAGTAGGGACCAGAAGGGACACTTCCCAGTCCCAGCCTACAGCAGCTTGTGGCTCAGAGCTTGACTGTGTCAGCTGCAGTGAGCTGATTTTGTACCACATAGATGATCATGGGCCCAGATGTGAGAGAGGAGAAGCATTTGGGATTTGCTTGTGCTTGTCATTAACAAATAATTCTCTCCTCTTGGATGTCTGTCCATGTGTGATCTTTGTCCTTCCTCTCTTTGTCTCTTAGGTGGAATCAGCTGGATTTGGCCATAGTTCTGTTGTCAATCGTGGGAATCACACTGGAGGAAATTGAGATGAATGCTGCACTGCCCATCAACCCCACCATCATCCGCATCATGCGGGTGCTGAGAATAGCACGAGGTATGGCCTGCTCCATAGGTCTCCAGCCATCCCTCAGACACCTCAGGAAATGGTTTGGCCATTTGTTCTACTCCTGCTGTTTGACTTGAGAGCAGTCAGGTGATGAGGCTGCAAAATCAGTGTCAAATCAGTGACAAGCTGGGGGGGTTCATAGGTGTTTTCAATGGCACCTTAGATTGGTCTCTAATTCAGATTTGGGATCACAGACCTTTTATACTCAGCAGACAAAAGCAGAAAGCAGAGGAGAGGATCAGAACTTGAGATGATGCTCTTTACTGATGAAGTGTCTCCCCATCGCTCTCCCATTTCCCTGCTTGGGCACAGTGGAGGTTTTGTGGCTTTTGTTCCATTTTACTGATGTCCTTAACATTAACTGGGGTGTGAAACAGTCAGGATGCTCAGATGTTCTGTGGGCCCTGCTAGCATGAGTGAGCTTGCCATCTGTATGAATAGAAGCAAGAGAGATATAAACCCTCCCTACAAGATCTGAACCTAGATTTCCTTTATGGATTTTGCTCCAAATATTCCCTAGCCCTGCTGACCAGGATTTGATTCTCTTAATAGTGCTGAAACTGCTCAAAATGGCCACTGGGATGCGAGCCTTGCTGGACACAGTGGTACAAGCACTTCCCCAGGTAAGCTCCCAGACTTCACCCATGCCCACTTTGTTCCCCTTGACAGACTTACGCCTTTTGGGTCTGGGGACCCCTCTTTGGTGAGCACTAGAAGCCACCTGTGCCTTGGCAGCAGTGTTGCGTGTTTCTGAGTGTTAAAAGCTTGAAGTGGGGCCCCAAATCACCATATCCTCATGAGCTGCAAGAGAAACAACAATGCTGCCAGTCTTAATAATATTTGATAGGATCCTTCAAGTGTTCAGTTCCTGGGACTGCTTTTTTATGGATACATTTATTTGGAAAAAGAAGGAAAAATACTTTTTGCTGACTTGCACTCCTCCCTCAAAAAGAAAGATCTGAAGCACATCGGAATTCCAGGAAGCTTAGGGTTCCTTTGTTTTTGAAATCTTATGCTATTTAAGCTGTGGTCTGCCAGTTTGTGGGTTTAATGGTCTGTGTCCCAATCTTTCAGTCTTTAGAGTCAGCTCAGCTGCCTACACATTCCAATTTCATATATCACCAGGATCCTGTATCCAGGTGATATATATTCCAGACATGACTGGAAACATTTACTGCCACACTTTACCCAGAAGTGAGCACTAAAAAGAGGTGCAAAGCCATCAAGAAGGAGGCAGAGGAGCTCTGCAGCCTTCTCTGAGCTGGCAGTTCAGAAACAGAACTTTTACGATGCGCAAGGATGGTCAGACAAGTCCTTAATTTTCAACCCCTCCAAAACATCCCACAGCTGAATCACTGGAAGGGGTTTATGAGTGGCTCTACTCTGTCCTGTCTAGAAGGCAGTGAAGTGTGTTCTGGTATGGACTGGGAGAGCCAGGCCTCCCCTCTCCCAGCCCCACAGGCACAGGGAGATGGCAGCACACCATGGTGGGCAGTCACATCCTGATCAGCTTCAGCTGCCTGCAGAGGGATCACATCTCAAAGGCAGGATGGTAGCACTGTGGCATGGCCAAAAGCAGACACCACATAGACATCTCTTCCAGAATAGGAGTGGCCATATGAGAATCAGTAGAACTAGTAAATGTAATTACCCAAATATACCCCTATGAGTTAGTTGCTAAGTACAAAGAAGCCTGTGGTCTGTTCAGAATGAACTGGAAAACGAGGGGAATTTCTTCTTCTTGGAAAGACCCATTTACTTTTCATCACTGTCATAAAGATGTTGCTAATCTGAGACATTTGCTCTTCAGCATTCAGATTTCCTTCTCAGTGAAGGCTTTTGGCTGAGACTAAAGCATGGAGTTTACCAGCCTGACCCCTGTTTTGGCATTTCAAGAAACTGTTTGATTTGTGTCTATTTCTTCTTCTTTCAAAACCATTGTGATTACAGAGCGTATTTTCTCTTCTCTCCTTATTTTCTCTCCACCCCAAACAATAGGGTGGCTACAGGCCAGGCTTTTTGTTTCCTTAGGGTGATTCTGCAGTTTATATTCAATCCAAAGTCTCTTGTAAAGGGGAATCCCCAGGGATATTCCAGGCAGATCTTGTGCAGATAAAAATGCCATTTGGTCCTCCAGTGAAATGCAGCAAATGAGAAGAGAAATTTGGGAAGACCTCTCTGACAACAATCACTCTTCATAAAGCTGCAGCTTGCATTTAAAAGGCAAGGGCAGAGCTCCTACCCCCATTAAAACCACAGCTGGAAAATCCTTATTTGAATGTGTCTGCAAAGTGACAAGAAAAAATCCTTTTCTGTTTATTCATTAAGGTTTTCAGGGAAATGCTTTGTCTGGTGCATGTAAAATGACCATTTATGGGCTTACAATGACAAGGTACTGTCATTGCTCCACACTTTTTCTCTTTTGTGGGTGATTTGCATCAGCTTCCTATTTTATTCAGCAGCTTGAGTAATACTTAGAGAACCAACAATCACCACTCAGTACGAAGCAGGTTTTCAAGACCTGTTTCAAGTGTTTTCCTCTTGATGAGCTCTGGCCCCATTAAGGCGTTATAATGAATTACACCACTCATCTGCTTCAGCTGAACATCATCTGGTGGCTGCACTGGTTTTGTAAGCAATGTCTGCTCTGTAAGCCTCCTGTTTGATGGTAATCCTCTAGTCCTTTTCCCATCCCCTGCTTTCCAAAGTGCAATAGTAAAATGTGGAACTTCCCTAGCAAAAATGTGGGTACTTTCTCCTTGTTTTTTCTCACTTGGTCTGTGGATGGCACATTAGTTAAATGCAGGACTGTACCTTATACCTCCTAGAGAATCAGAGTATCAACTAGGGTGGAAAAGGCCTTTAAGATCATGAAGTCCAAGTCTCTGTCTTCGAAGCTTGGAATTCTCCCACATGGACTCTCTGCTAAGAAAAATGTGAAGAACTCCTTGTTCTATCAGTGCCCAGAAATCAGTTTGCTCCTGTCCAGGAGTTTAACAGTTCCTGGTGCTGTAATTCCTGTGCTTATCTCAGCTTCAGCTCTTGAAGAGGTTTTCTGGCATTGTCTAACAGCAGCTGTGGGACAGAAACAAGTCTGCTTTTGCCAGATGCTGAAAACCCACAGTGATTGTGAAGCTCAGAGAGCAAGAACAGAAATGTTTTACCAGCAAGCACTGCAGGTGAGGCAGGTTTTGGAAGATAAGTATGTGCTGCACGCTGGGAGGAAATGCAGAGGTGCCCAAGAGATTGGAATAGCAAAGCAGAAATCAGTAGGTAAAGAAACCACCGTTCTGCTGGATGTTAGCACTGGTGGATACCCAGAGAGGGAGCTCATTCAGTTCAGCCTTGTGGTTGCACCGGTGAGATGACTTTATCCTCCAAGGTTGTCTGTCTGGCCCTTTCCAGTACTGGAATTCACACAGATGACCTCTGTTTTCCAAGCAAACGTGTCCATTTTCTCCTGGGTCCAGTACATAAATTAGCCTGTGTTTTCCTGCTGCCAGGATTATTGCTTTGGCTGGAGAGTGCTGGAGGGAAGATGAGGAGGACTTATGTCCTTGGAAAGGATTGGCAGAGGCTTAGTTTTATGAGAAATTGCTCTTGACAGGCTTCCCAGATTGCTGTGTGCATTGCCTGCATGACCAACTGAAATGCCAAGGTGTGGGCCAGTGATGCAGAAATAATTGATGTCAGAGCAGAAGAGCCACAGGAGGAACTACAGTGTGCTTCAGCCAGCCATTGCAGGAGTGGGGCACCAGGAGACACAGCTTTCAGCAATGCCTCTTCCAGAGCAAGAGGATCTAGAGGGATTTGGGTAGGATCACATAGCTGGAAGTACAACAGAGGAGCAGTAGTGCCCAGGTGGCTGGAGTCCTGTTGTACATGCTCAGTGCAACACCCTTGCCTATCGAGCTGACACAACCTGGCACAGATCTGTCTGCAAACAGGGGCTCTTTACTTAGGGCGTAGGTCAGAGGTTGAGCTCTGGTGGGATATGGTGTTTAGCTACTGCAGTCTCACTTAGGAGGAGGCAAAAACTAACAGCAGGGATGTTTGCAAAAGTAAAGCAGAGACAGCCTCCCCAGGCCATGCACGAGCTGTGGGAGAAGGGGTTTGCTGGTTATGTGGAGAGGAAAGTCACTTTTCTTGCCACATTAAGGTTATTCCAGGGTTTTTGCAATGGTAGATCACAGATCTAGCTACAATGCACTGAGGTGAAGGCTGGTAGCTCCTCACACAGGCCCTTCCTGCTCCTCTGGGTGGGAGGGAGGACTCTGCCTCTCTCTCCACAGCATCCCTCTCACACAGACACTTTTGCCAGCAGCACATAACAGCCAGGATGCCAGACAGGAACAGTTCTGGAGGAATCACAGATACTCACCAGTGTCTCCATCTTCTCTTGTGGCTTCTCTGGGGTACTTTAGGCACCAAAAATATCTCCAAGATGTTCTTCATCTCTGTTTCACTTCCTACAAGCCACAGTCTCCCCTCAACCCTGGAGCCACAGCAAGTGATGGATAGTCCCTGCCTGTCAGAGAAGGGGGTTATCTGTGGTTTTCCCTGCCCAGCCAAAGGCACCAGCCTATATCAGAGGGAATTTGATGGATACAAAGAGCATGGGCTGACCTGTTCAGTGTTGCTAGAGCAGAACCACTTCTCAGAGCCTGCTTGGGTGACTGGCTGCCAAAGTTGAGGTTGATGACCAGAGCTGGATCTTTGCCCCTGATGGAGTCCAGCACAGGCATCCCAGCCTCTGGCTGCTGGAGAAAAGTGTCTGGATATACTCCTGCCCCCTCCCATTCCTCCCAGCAACATGATTCATGCACAATCTTTTTATTGTCTGGTCTCAGAAGATCTCAAAGTGCTTTAGAGACATTTATTCTCCATCCACAGGGGTATTACAAATGGGCACATTGAGTTACAGGAGAGGAATGACTCACTCGAGGTCACAGACACAGATAGAGTCTGCCTTCTCTGCTGCTCAGCAGCCTCTGGCTGACCTTGCTGCCTCCACCTCAGCCCATCTCTGAGAACATGCCCTGGGTCCTTCTCTGTGCTCAGGCCACAGGCTGAAGAGGGACATGTACCAGAGAGCCATGGGCTGGCACTGACAAAATATTGCATCTACCACTGATTTGTACTGATTCAATACAGCCAGAAGCTGCACAAATAGACCACGCAGTCCCATCACCCATCCAGGGATCTTTCACTTGCTGCTGTCACCTGCGTCTCTCTTTCACATAGCCATGTTTCTAAATCAGAGTCAGATGTTCAGTCATTCCCAAGTGCTTCCCAAGAGAAGCATCAGCTGAGTTTGGAACTGCTCTCACCACAGGCAGATGCAACCTCAGACACCAGCAAACACCACGTTAGCAATCAGATGTGTCAGAGTATGCCTATGGCTGTGATGCCTTGAGCCTACACAGCAAAGCCATGAGTGTAAACTGGTTTTTGAAGGACTTGTTATGAGACATATTGGTTCAGTGTGTAATTAATCATGATCTTAAATACAGAATCTTCTACAAATGCACACTAGATAGCAGGCAAATGGCTTATGAGCAAATCTTAGGTCATAACATGCTTTGCATGTCAAGAGATAATAGTTTTGACTGATAACCCAGTAATAACTTTGATGTTAGGCTAAATTCCTTGAAATTTCATCAATGCCAAAAGTTTGTAGACTGATTTATTAGGCATTAAACCAGCAGTAAAATATTCAGCTTATAGGCTGCTTTGAAACAAATCCAAGACCTTCTTCTGCAGTGCTACAACATCAGGCTTTAATATACACTCATCCTAGCACTTTTCTTTTCCTTCCCTTTAATTCCTTGCTCCTTTGCCTCCCCAGCAGTGTATGTGGGTGCATTTGCAGTCCCTGTTTTCTTGTGTTTTCTCATTTGCAGTCATTTTGCAGCCCTACAAAGCAGCAGTGTCTAGCAGAGATGAGTTAGGAAACACTATTGCAGAAGACAGTACATGCAGATGAAATAATCCAGAGCAGCCATCCACATCACCATATTATCTCTATTATTCCCTGGAGGATGGTAATAATGTTGGTGGAATTGCAAAGCTCTATGTGTAGTAGCCAGTTGAAGCTTTATAGCAATTACAGTCTCCACTGGGTGATTTCACTGTTCCCACTTCTTTAATACAAAAAACCTCTGATTTCATAAGTGATATCTGTGTTAATTTTGTGATAACAGGTATCACACTGATAAGCTTCCTAATGAAATTAAGCAGCATGGTCAAATACCCAGCAACACTGTGGCTGTGCTGCCTCAGAGAGAAAAGCTCCCTCAAGCTGAAGGGTTTACTAGAAGATACCTTGGAAATCATGAATCCCTCAGCCTGAGTCCCTGAATCACCAACTTACTTAGTTTTTATTTAGAGATAAAATGATGCTTGTGGCAGCATGTGATCACTCGATCTCCATTACAAGCTGAGAGACAGAAGGCATTTAAAAGTGGCAGGAAAGGTAAATGTGACCAGAGTCAGTTGAAGGTAACATGCAGGTGGTTAACTGGTCGAGTTGCTCTGCCCTTCACGTTCCCTGCCTGTATCACAAAAAAGCCCTGCTCTTTGAGATGTTTTAAAGGCTTAGACCCGTGTAGTGGTTGACTCCAGTGCAGGTAACTGCAGCGCCATTGTTACTAAGAACCTTTGTATTCCCTTTAGCATCATTGCACTTCTGTTGCCATCCCTTTCAGCCACCTTGCAGGGCATGTTAATACCTAATAGTAGCACACCACACAGTGTTTGTACTGCAAGGTGCCTGCATTTAAGTGCTGGTATATGGAATAAAGCTTTTCTTTTGAGACACTGAAAGCTAAAATGCAGGTAGTTGTTGTTGAGAAATATCTGTGAAGTGGCAAGGCCAGGAGAGCTTCACATCTTAGGCAGCATATGTTCCTTTTCTGAAAGCTCTCCCCACCAAGGAAACCTTTGCAAACCAGGCAATTCCTCTTGTGGCTTGAGACATGTCTTGTTAATGTCAATGTCTGAAACCCTCAGTCTTCATGCTCAGAATCTTAAACCTGGCAAACAGAAGGGAAAAGCCCTTAAAACTCAAACCAGAGCAGCAGGTCAGTTAATCTACCACTGCGCTGAAGTGTAGTGCTAAATGCCAGAGGCTACAGCTACAGGTTGGCCAAATTACAGATGAAGGCAGCATCCAGGTGAGTGGAAGGGCAATGGAGAAGCCAGAAAGCCTCAGAGGTTGCTTTGCATGTGGGAATCTGCTCCTTCCTCCACACAGGAGACTTCTCTGAGTCTGTGAAAGGGGACCAGGGTATTGGAAGCCAGGGAAGATGATGATTCCCTCTTTAACTTGCGTTTAAAATGTGATGGAGCAATTTAATTCATGATCTCAATTTGCCTGACCCTTGTTCTGCTTTCTCCTTGTGTAGGTAGGGAACCTTGGCCTACTTTTTATGCTCCTGTTTTTTATCTATGCTGCCCTGGGAGTGGAATTGTTTGGCAAGCTGGGTGAGTAATGTGCCTGACGCGGTTTATTTCATCCGGTTGATGTTTATTTGGTATCAAGCTGTTTCCTTTCTTCTCCCTCTCATCCTTGGGCCTTCCTTAGCTTCACAGCTCACAGTTTGAAGATGAAAGTTTTCCCTTGATCTCAGGGTCACAGATGACACATGAGGATGTAATACAGAACCTGTCTAATGTGCGCATACGCACACACTTAGAGATCTGTCAACAGCACCCTTGGCTGTAGAGGAACTATTTGCTGTTTAAATATAATTGTCCAGCACGAGTATGTTCACAAAGGTGGAATTTTGCTACTTACGGCACAATACGAGTCTGCAAAGCTGGATGGTGATCAGATGTGTGCTGGAGAGATGCCACCATAAACACGTCCCTCCTCAGAGCTTCCACCACACTCCATTAGTTTTCTGCACTTGGCTAACACTGCTCTTCCAGCTGCCCAAGTCTTGTCTGTCCTTTGTTCTCAGCATCACCTTCCCCTTTCCACATAAATCAGGAAGCATCTACTAGTTCCTGATTGTCCAGCACTATTTATTCCGCTGGCTTGAGGATGCTGAGGAGCTGATCATGAATGTGTCCAACACTAAAAACAGAATCAGGTGGAGGAAACTCTACAGCCTTACCTTGCCCAGCTTAGCCAGGCCAAAGCAGTCACTGCCTTTAAACATGCTGTTAGAAGATGCGTCTGCCTCCTCAATGTTTGCATCCTAATTAGGCCTTCAAGAGCATCAGAAGTGCCCTTCCTCCATGATGCTTTTATGGCTGTCATTAATCCCCCTTATGAGCCCAGCCCTCTGCTCAGATTACAGATGCTTGAAAGCAGAATATTTCTTTCAACTAAAGACAAATTATTTTTTCAGTCTCCAACAAATTCAGGAAAAAAAATAAATTACTTCTTCATCCACCCCAAAATGAAATACTGGGGGGGGATTTATTACATATCTGATATATAGGTATGTATTTGTGCAGCCATAAAGGTGAAAAATGTCTTGTTCACAGAAGCACCTTCTGCTGCTCTGCATCCTTTCTGGTTTTACACACACCCCCCTTGCCAGTGTGAGCCCCCAGGTAACCACAGCATGTGTCAGAGGCTGGCAGAGCCCTGACCCTGTCTGGAGCGAGCTGCAGGCAGCCAGCACAGCACTTCCCATCCCCACTGAACTGGGAAATACTTCCACTTCTTTTTCTGGATCACTGCTACTCCCTGTCAGCCACAAGCACCATCAGTGCTCACTCTCCCAAGACTGGTCATTTGTGGGTTGTTGGGTTTGTTTGTTCTTTTGATTTTCCTTCCTATTTGCCTCTGAAATAAATAGCTACTAGTGAAATGCCCTAGCAAGAGACATTGCTGCCTGTGTAATGAATCTGTGTTTTATGGAAAGAGGGATATGTTCCATTTACATTCATTAGTAAATTAATTCTCAGGGGAAAAATGTCAAATTGCTTCATTTTATCTCAGTGAAATATCCCTCATGGTAGATGTACCCTGTAAAATCTAATCAAGACAAGGACATAATCAAGAGACAAAGGGTACTGTAGAGCAGTATTTGTGGAGACAGCTCAGCAAGTCTGCTTGTTCCCACCTTCTTTTAGATCTCTTTGTGTTGGCTCTGCCTGTTGGGGTAAAGTCAAGACAAATGTTGGTGGAAGAGGCCTCTGAAGACCCTCACCCAGCCTCCCACTTGAAGCCTCATCAGTAGTAGGTCAGAGTAGCTTTTTCCAGCCAAATCTTGCAGAGTTCCAGCAGCAGAGCTCCCCTTCCTCTCTGGTGACCTGTCCCAGGGCTGTTGGGTCTTCCAGATGAAAACAACCTTCCTAATTCCAGCCTGGATCTCCTAAGCCACAGTGTTACTGTCCATTATATCATCTCCCTCCATGGAGATGAGTTTGGCTACATGATCTCCTCAGTAGTTGCAGGCCACCATGAGATCATCTTAGCAGTCCTCTCTGATGCCATCATGACATGTCTCAGGGTCTCAGCACCACGTCTGGGGGCAGTTCTGAATAAGCACTGGCAAACGTGGCTTCACTGATGTGCTTCTGCTTCTGTCCCCTGCAGACTGCAGTGAGGAAAACCCCTGTGAAGGTCTGAGCCGGCACGCAACATTCACCAACTTCGGCATGGCCTTTCTCACCCTCTTCAGGGTGTCTACAGGGGACAACTGGAATGGGATCATGAAGGTCTGTGCAGTCTCTGTCTGGGTATTTTATTCTCTCTGTGGATACATAAGATACAGATTTCAAACAAATTTAGACAACTCTTGTGTGAAAACACATTTTCGTTTCAAACATCAGAATTAAACTTCCCCATTTAAAATCCAGGTTTATTTCAAGTGATAATTTGTCCTAAGTCTCACTTGATCTGAAATGTAATGCTTTTTAACATATATATAATACTTCAGGAAAATTATGCCAGTTCCTGTGGCTGAGGGGAGTGACCATGAACTCTGTGGCCTGTGCCTTTGGGATATAACATCACTCTTTGTTTTGTAGATGATGTAATTCAGTGTCCATATTATCTTCTATCCATCTATAAGCCATTGTGTCTCGGATATGTTATTCTGTTGTTTCTGTATTTGGAGCCCAAGCAGAGCCCCAACACTTATTAATCCCTCATCTTTCCCTCTCTGTTGCAGGACACTCTGCGGGAATGCACTCGGGAAGACAAGCACTGCCTCAGTTACCTGCCTGTTATCTCTCCTGTCTACTTCGTCACCTTCGTCCTCATCGCACAGTTCGTCCTAGTCAATGTGGTGGTGGCAGTGCTGATGAAGCACTTGGAGGAGAGCAACAAGGAGGCCAAGGAAGATGCTGAGATGGATGCTGAGATCGAATTGGAGATGTCCAGAGGAGCAACCACCTCGGCCACCAGTGGGAGCAGAGGTGCAGTGGCCCCAGAGAGCAGGGCACCCTACAGAAGTCAGGAGACCACAAAGTCAGAGTCAGCGCTGCAGGTGAAGCATCAAGCCCTGGTAAGAATTCACACAAAGCATCTGCTCATGTTGTGCTCAGGGTAGAGAGGAGACAGTTCTCACCAGCCACTGCTGTCTGATCGTCAGGCAGCCAGACCCCAAGTGACACAGAGCCAAAGAGGTAGGAGACAAGGCAGCTTTCCTGGGTCCCCCTTGTGGCAGAGATGTCACCACCACCGCCACATCTCGACTCATCTCAGGCAGGCTACCTGAGGTGGAAGGCTGCATGAAACCTGTTTTCCAGGGCTAACACTGTCCTGACCATTGTTCTGGGGGCTGGTTGAAAGTCCATCTCTTGCCATTTCCAGTTCATTCAAAGGTTCAGAACTGTAACAGTTCATTTAAGTTCAGAACTGTAACAGCCACAGGTCCCTGTCTGCTCTTCCAATGCATCAGTCCTTGTTATTTTAGCATGGGCCGCAGCCCCAGGGAATGCTGGCAACCCCAACATGGATGGCATAAATTCCCTTCACACAGACACAGATACATTGCTCAGGTTCTTTTTAATCCCAATTTGGGATTTCCAGAGGAACCTCAGGCAAATCATAGTGTGCAGCTCAGGAGGGCACGTCTGGCACTGGTGCAGGCACGCAGCCTTCCCACTGCCTTGTGCTCTGCTTAGGGCATGGCTGAACTTGGAGCCTGGGAATTGTCAGAGCCCCTCAGCAAGAACCTGGAGGTTCCTGGGCTGATATTGCAGACACTGCTGCTCTCTGATTTCTGTTAGTCCTCTAGAAAGGGCAATCAGAAGTTGGGGGGAAGGAGGGGCACAAGATTGTCTCAATTGTCTCATCCCTGTCAGCTGCACGTGATGAAGAGTGAATACCAAGTTGCTTTGTCACCATGACCGCAAATAAATCTACTGCAAAATCAATGGGGAAATTGAGATTAAATTACATTAATTTTTTGTACAATCTATCAGACTCTGTTAAGTCAAGTAAGGAGAAATTTACTTACACAGCAATGGGGAACTCACTCACTATTTGAATATAGTTCCTAATAGACTTTTCTGCAGGAAAAGGCACCATAAACACTATGGTCAATTTATTGCCTTTCTACTTGGCCTGACAGGGATCCCACAGTGAGTAGGCTCCCACCTTGCACATCCCTATCAGGTGCCTGGGATCCTCCCAGGCCCTCAGGCTGTCTGTAAGGACCTAACCCCCCCACTGCCTTCTCAGCCAAGCTCAACAGGGTAAAAGCATTGAGTAATTTATCTTGGGATGTTTCTTTTTAGGGATCTGAGGAAAGACATCTGTAAGCCAGAAATGGATGGGGAAAACAGATCTAACCAGATCCTTGGTGACCACCAGACTATCCAGCGAGGAATCTCAGGCCCAGCTTTTGGTAGCAAATAGGGAAAACAGCCCAGGAGAACAAAGCAAAATACATCTAATATAAGACACGCAGCTGGGAAAATGTTTTCAATCAGTCACTGGGAGCTGACATTAAAGGAAAAGCAAGTGATTAGTTGTACTTTAGGAATTGCGAGGGGAATGTGTCTAGAACAAAAGCCCTGGAGCCAGGTTGCAGGTCCTGTTCCAAGGGCTCCTGCTCCCCCAAAACTTGGCCATGTCATGGCACCACCCCTCACAGCTGCCCCATCAGCACTGCAGAGACATGGTTTGAGTCCCTAAAGCTTCCTAAGGCCCCAGGATAAATCTGCCATCAGGTGCCTGAAGTGGCAAGAGCCTCAGAGAAGCAGTGAGGGGTCAAGTTTAAGGTTTGTGACATGCTCTGTCCAGGAACTTACAACCAGACCCATTTCACAGCAAGAGCAAACACAGGGAAACCCCTTTCCTACCCCCAAACAGGCTCCACAACCACATACATGCTGCCATCCCTCCTTCCCTCTGCCTCCTGCCACGTAGCTGTCTTCTTCTAGGGTCAGTGGTGCCCAAAATACCTCACGTTTTAGGAGAGAGGCCATGAGGTTTGCAGTGCTGTTAATGTCTATGTTTAAATGCCTGCCTGTGTGTGTGTTTTGGGGAGATACTACATGAACTTCCAGCAGCTCTGGGTACCCTCTTGTCAGCATGGCCAAGGACTGGCCAGTTTTGCCCATCTATCCCAGAGTAGCTTTGAGGAGAAGGGCATCACCACCCAGGCTGGGCTGAAAGCATCCCTAGAAAAACAGGAGCAGAACAGTGTGAGAAATGTTGGCTTTCTCCTGTGGTTAGAGTGGGCCCCATTTTCCTGGACCTTACTTTTTCTCTGCAGTATCCAAGAGTCGACTTAGTGGTGGGTCACTGATGCCTCATTTTCACTCCAGCTGCAACCCGAGCTCTTCACCGAGCCAGCACAGCGTAGCTTTGGTATCCTGTTGCAGTCACCAGGGCTGCAGCCCCTCTGCAAGATGCCAAGAGGAACATCTGCACGAGGCTGTAAACCAAAAAGCAGACAAGAAGGAGATGGCTATGAGCTCACCACCAGGAATGACCCCCTCTCCCTGTCTCCTTGCTTTGCAGGGCAGTGCAGCCTCCCTGAGGCCACAGGACTCTCAGAACCTGCTGACTGTCCGCAAGATCTCCGTTTCCCGAATGCATTCCTTGCCCAACGACAGCTACATGTTCCGGCCAGTGATGCCAGCCAAAGCCCCTTTCCCCCTCCACGAGGTGGAAATGGAAACATATCCCTGCAAATCCCAAAGAGGTACTGCTTGTGGAGTTTTCCCTTCCTTCTCCTAGCTGAAACCATGGGGCAGCAGGTACACGTGGTGGTTAGATGGCAAGTAAGCAACCCATACTGAACGTGGGCTGAGACAGAGCTCGCTTCCTTCATGTGATTCCATCACCGTAACTGCCCAGTTTCATGTTTTCAGCACCTCCCTGCACTTTCCCAGGAAAAAGCTGGTGGCTCGGGTGTTTGACTGGGGAGAAGTGGAGCTCCTCAGCACTGTCAGGTGTAGAGGACAGGCTGTTAGCTGAGGAAAAGGATGTGAGCTGCACATGTCTTCTGATCAGCCCTGACATCAATAAAATCAACATGAATAAAAGCCAGAGTCAGTGTCACTTCCTGACAGGGCTCCTTTACAGCTATTTTTTCGGGCAGTTTTAAGTCTCAGAACAGTATCTTTTTAGCATGGTACATGGAGTTCAGAGATGCAGGAGTTTCTTTGGGAGCCATAAAGATTAGAAACCAGTCTCTAGTGCTTCCCCAGCCTGGCCTTATAATGAATCTCGGTGTAGAGACCCTGCACTCAGGGAGTCACGAGCTACACAGAGCCTTTGAGTATCCATTTACCCAACTGCATCCAAATACATTACCCTCAAAATGCCTTTCTGTCATCTCTTTTGTCGTGCAAGTTGGTTTGAAGGGGAAATCAATAGAAAGAAAATATCTGCCGCCCTAAAAGCCCATGTGCTTCTTGAGTGGCTCCCAAGGACTCACCAGCCTGGTTTCCTTCGATGCAACATTGTTTGAAATGCAAGAACTGCTTGGACAGATGAGTAAAGGGTTTGCAAACCATGGTGGGGCTGGCAAGATCCGCTCTGGTTTCATTGGGTGAAGTAAGTCTATATTTGTTCAACCTCTCTGGATACCAGTTAATGTTCTCTGCTCAGTATTTAGTATTATTTCACCTGCAAATTCTTTGCTAAGCAAAGAAAACAGAGGTTGAGTTTCATGGCTGCACTACTGGGGATGGTTTTCATCTCTGTAGTGAGTGTAAATCAGGATTTATACCACTATAAAACTGCTGTGATGTTGGCAGAGGTGGGGAGAACTCACCAAGAGCACTTGAGCAAGGGATATGGCAGGGGTTTACCTGCATCCAACCAGCATCAACCAGAGCTGTGCTGCTTCTGAACTGAGCAAACTCTGGTTTAAGTCTCAGTCCCATAAGTTACATGCAAGTAAAACCGAGCATGTGGAGACTCACCTTAGCATTTGTGCTTTCGTGGACTTCTGAATGTCCGTTAAGTTGCCTGGTCTTCCAACACTTCAGTGCGTACACAGGGAAAACACTGGGACATGACCAGATCTTGTGTTCTTTTGGTCTTAGATGCAGTTTCTTGATTTACTAGAAAACCAAAAGAGAAAACACACAAATCCAGAGATATTCAGAGTTCCCAACTATGCAATTTAAGAGTGGTTTGGGGTTTCCTATACAAGAGCTAGATGGAAGGCTTCCAACAGAAGGGAATTCCAGCTAAGCACACGGAGGAGAGCATAAGGGTTTGATTTTATGACCATGTTTGTGACAGATTTTATGACAAAGTTTTTCTGCATCATAAAAAGCATTCTATAAAGCCTGGATTAACACATGAACAGCACAGGCAAAAGATTTAGAGAGAAGTCGGGTGGGGAGCTCATTGCTCTGCTCTTTCTGTGGTGATCTGGAAAAAAGCTGCAAAAGAAAAATGATTAAACACTAACTTTTCTTTCTTCCCAACAAGAAATCTCTTTCTGAAACACAACTGCAATCTGTCTGGATGGCTTTTTGTCATAGGTTCAAGTTCTCTGACCTCTGGGCGAGATCTCTTGAAGTGATGGATAGCTGTGTTTTGAACGTGGAGCTGCAATGTAGAAACAGACGTTGGCTTTCAAGCTAATGAGGACAATAAATCCTGCAGCCAACAAAAATAAAAAGGCAAAAGATCTTTCAAACAAGGCTGAACTGCAGTAAAGCAGCACCACAAAGGGGCTGGGGAGGAGGAATCGCCTTTACACTCAGCCAGGGGACTGGGAGCCTTCAGGAAGAGAATGATTCCTGCCTCGTACATGAGCTCAGAGACTGCCGAAGCACTTGAAGGCATCTTCGTGCTGCTGATCAGACCATGTCCGGCCAAGGGCTGCCTTGGTGGGGGCAGTGTTTGGGCTGCAGTGAATGGGCAAACTGCCCTGTGCATCACTGGTGCCTGCTCCTGGAGCAGGCAGTGGCAGGGTGCCCACTGGCTGCTCCAGGCTGTAGGTTAGACCTGGAAGTGGAGCTGTGGAGGCTCCCAGGGAGCTGAGCAGGGCTGCTCTTGCCTCCGTGTGGCAGAGCAGTGTAAGCATCCCTGGCAGCACTGCAAACACAACCCAGGCATCCTGACAGACTTCCCAGATCCATGTTCTCCAAACAGGCAACATCCTTTCGCAAATCCTCCCAAATCCATGCTACCAGGAAAGTGGCAATGGCAGGGTTTCAAATGCCCTTCATTTGCTGCCATGTAGTTCCTGGTGGCCACCATCTACCCTGAGAGTTGCAGTATCTGCAAGAGAAGACCCTCTTACCTGTTGTCTGCCCCAAACCCCATGTGCCCCAAGCCAGCTGTGGTGGTGACTGCTCTGTCTCTGTTCCCCAGGGTCCATCACCTCCATCCGCTCCCAGCCTGTGGGAACATGCTCCTCTCTGAGAGTCCCAACGGAGTCCCTGCAGCTGGCAGTCCGTTCTCCCAACCACTGGAAGATCCTTCCCCCCCACATCACACCTCGATCTCCTACTCTCAACAAGCTGCTGTGCAGACAGGTGAGAGGCCAAGAGCCTGCAGAGGTAAACTTCGTAGTCACCTGGGTCCTTCCCTTCTTTACCAGTGGCCTTTGGGGTTTCTTTTACTGGAGCTGAAAGTAGCATTCTCCTTTTTAGAACAAAATGTTTCTGGTGCCATAAATGTTAATATACAAGTGACACACAGGAGAAGGCCCTTTGTACCTACTATCATCTTTCTGGGTGTGCTATTCTATGAAGGAATAGCTAAAGCATAGGAAGAAGATGCCCAGTTCAGCTTTACCAGTGTGGTGGGAAGCCTGCAGTCAGCCCTACACCCTCTCTCTTCAGACAGGGTGCACTGACCCAGAATTTGGTGCATAGAGCAAGCCCCAGACTGTGCAGAAAGACCCAGCAGATACAAGCTCTGCACACGGAGGCTCTGGGTCTGCTTGTGAGCAAACCTTTTGTACAGGGAGGTTCTGACAGGGACTGGCGCGATGGGGCAGGGATGGGGTGATTCAGGGTGTATTAGACCCACCAACCGTTCTGCCACGGGCCGTGTTCCACCCCTGGAAGTGCTCCTGACCCAGCACATCCCCAGGCTCTCTCCCCACCTCTCTCTCCTCACCTTCCAGGAGGCCATTCAAACAGACTCCATGGACGGGCAGACGTCAGACCGCAAGGACAACCTGCAAGCAGAGCCTGGAGAGACGCTCCCATCAGCAAAGCAGCCCCAGAGCACCCTGACCCTCAGCCCCCTTCATCCCAC